CGACCCTGGAGACCTTTTGCAAGGCCTGGCACGAGGCACAACAGACTTTTTAAACCCCGCGGTGAAAGTGCATCGGTGCCTCTGGATCGCACGAAGCCCGAACCGAAATCTGCAAAGCATCCGCTATCCAAGCAAGGTCCTGCGAGTAGGGACACGCCGGGCACGCTGTCTTACTAAATCTCTTGAAGCGTGCTGCTGCAAAGGCGTCCTCCATGGCAAAGAACTCTTGGCATCGAACTCGTTCGATAGCCTCGCGCCATGACAGCTTGCGGAGTATCACGACGGGCCTACGCGTCAGTCATGGCCTCCTGCTGGTGCGGGCTGCGCTCGAGCGCAAGGTCACAGGTCTCTTTGCACAGCGTGCGTGCTAGATGTGTCTCTAGCCGCAGTCGGTCCACGGCTTTGGCGTAGCCAAGGGAAGTCCTAAGCTACACAGCAAAAGAAAAAAGGCGGAAATACAAAGCAGCAGGAAGCCGTTGCAACTGCGACGAAGACTCCGCTCCACTGCAAGGAAACCTTGAACGTCCCGACTGGCGACTAGGCAATGCCAGCCACAGAGGCCATCCGGCGGGATGACGAGAACGTCGGCCTGGCTGCAGGATGTCTGATTGTGACCCATGAAATTGGTCGGGTTTCTTGTAACTGTAAGACAAATACGACGATGCAGACACTCACAACGGTGATCATTTGTGACACCATCAGTGCTCTGTTGCTGTAATGCACCTGAGCTTAAGACTTAAGAATCAAGCGCAAGGAGGCTTCCAGTGGTTCCACTTGGAGGATCACCCGTATGCCATTCGCTGAATTGGAACCTGGAGCCCAAACATCACCCAACCTAACACTGCCGGCAAGCTCCTGAGGCTCTATCAGAGGTGGTGGCGGTGCCTCCGAGAAAGCTTGCGGGGGCGCACTGGGCAGCGAAGTGCCTGCTGACAGCGAAGGAAACCGGGATTGCATGCACATTCAGAGAAGAGTGTTCGCCACGAACTGTGGGCTTGGAGGATCAGGGGCACGCCGATGCAAGATACTTCATAGGTACGGGTTGGAGATGGAAGGTACAGAAAGGCCGACTGCTTTCTGTTCATGTGAAGCTGGCTGTGTCTCTCTAAATGTCTATCACATGCGGGAACTGGCGTCACGATTGCATGCCGAGGCTACACGACTTGCTTTTGATACGGCGAGTTCGCAGCGTGAGACTTAGGAAAATAACTGACATGCACATTCAGTTGGTGGTTGGGTGCATGAGTTGTGCGTGTGACGCATGAGGTAGCCCACACCATTATGCAGCATCGCTCCAACACGCCTCCTCCGTGGTCGAGTGAAAAAGGCTGCCGCTCCTCTCAGTTGAGCACAGAAGGGCAGGTAGCAACAAAAGTTCGGGACGATGGGTTTAGGACTTCAAGGTCGTCCAGAGCATGGGTAGTGACTACATGTCAGTGTCGTCGGCGCTGGTGCTCTACCACCAATTTGTGACGTGGTTTGTGCTGCAATCGCTCTCACGGTGACGACGACCCCGAGCACAACATGAATAACGAAGGCAGGTTGAACGCAAGCTCACCAGCTCAGCATACACTCGCGATTTTAGAATCCAGCTGAGCTTGTGGCCATCGTCATCTTGGCCAGTCCATCAGCCTCGTGCCGCGTAACACACCCTACCTGGAAGACACCCCAAAACAATCGTATCAGCGCCGGCAAAACTGACCATGTGCCCACGAGGCCCGGACGTTTAAGCGGCGTCTCCGCTTTGTGGCTGGCGGTGAATCCTGTTGGAATGCAATAAAGCCAGGTGCAAAGCATGCACAGCCATGCACAGCCAGAACGTGACAGAAAAAAACCCCAACCTGCGGCCGGTTTGGCTCAGGGGTTCTGAACCCAGTCTCTGGCGGCAACGAGTCGCCCTGTGCGGTGAGAAACACGACTCCACCACAGTTAAAGATTGAAGGCTTCACGCCTGGCCCTTTGGCGGCGAAGTGAGGTCAACCTGACAGGACTAACACGACACCGCAGTTGGCAACAAATGGTTTCAGTTCTGCCTGGTCGTTCTTCGGCGGCGAATCCGTCAGGTCAACCTGACGGCATTGCGCGGCACTTGAAGGATTTTGCAAGCCGGAGTCTGGCCTGGTGTTTTGGCGGAGACGCCATGAGGTCAAGCTGGCAGTCTGCCACCGTCTCGCGCGCATCAGCCGCCATGCCAAACTAGGACTTCTAAGACAAACCGAGCAGTAAACAGACTAGATTGATGCGAGGGAAGCTAGTCTATTTACCTGAGATTAGTGGCGCGACCTGGCCAGTAGTCCCGCGCCCATATGATTCGAACTGCCACGCCTCCTGCTGCCGCAACCCGGTGCGCCCCGGGCTAGCCGATACAGCGACGATACAGTCAGCCGCAGCAATTCACAACGATGCAGCACCACCCACTGCTAC